ATACTGCCACTACAAAGGACATACTAAGGAAAACTGTTATAAGCTAATTGGCTATCCAGCTGATTTTAAACCTAAGAAGAAAGGAGGAACCCTTGGTCTATATGCTAATCATGCTAGTGCCGATGTCCATCGGCAGGGAGAAGGGCCACAGATGCAGGCTGGAGTCCAACATGCAGGTCAACATGGTAGAGGAGATAATTTTGTAGTGTCGCAACCTGTTATTATGCCTCAATACCCTATGATATCTATGATGCCTCAATCTGCCACTTATTCTCAGCCTGCACCACCTGTACCCTATCTCACACAACAACAATATCAACAGATTGTCCAGCTGCTCAACAAAAGTGCTGAGGAGGGATCATCTTCCAAGGCTGCTGCTGCAAGTACTCTGATAGCCTTACTATCCAAGTATCTTAATCATAACTGGATAGTAGACACAAGTGCCTCAATTCACATGACATCCAATCTACAGATGTTAAACAATTATCAGGTTTTACCAAAACATCAAAGAGGCACAGTTCAATTACCAACAGGAAATATAGTGACAGTATCACACTCAGGAAATACTACAGTACTTAAAGACCAGAATATTAGTGATGTGTTGTTTATACCTGACTTTAAGTACAATCTACTGTATGTTTCTCAACTTACCAAGGAATTACAGTGCTTAGTGGCATTCTTCCCTGATTTCTGCATATTTCAGGACTTCTACAATGGTCAGGTGCTGGGGATTGGTAAGGAAGAGCATGGACTCTATCTGCTGAAAGGGAACTCACTCCAGAAATCACAGTTGTTAAATAAATGTGCACACACAGCTAACCTTAGTTCTGAATCTACTCACCTATGGCATCTCAGATTAGGACATGCTCCTATTGATGTAATCAAAAGGCATGATGTACTTAGAGCATTGAAAAATGTAGGTCCATATCATTGTACACTGTGCCCTGTAGCAATGCAATCAAAGTTACCTTTTCAGTTGAGTATTGCAGCTACTAAAGCAATATTTGAACTGGTACATTATGATATCTGGGGGCCCTATAGGGTACCTACATATGATGGAAAAAGATACTTTGTCACTATTGTGGATGACTATGCTAGATATACTTGGATGTTCTTAATTAATTCTAAGTCTGATGCTATAGTGGTCATCAGAAACGTCTTAACCACAGTGCAGAATACTTTCTCGACTAGTGTTAAAACTCTCAGGACTGATAATGGGAGTGAATTTTTTAGTGCTGACTTCAAAGCATTGGTCTCCTCTCTTGGAATTATTCACCAGAGTTCCTGTGTTTACACTCCTCAGCAAAATGGAGTGGTAGAGAGAAAACACAGAACAATCCCTGAAATGGCCAGATCACTCAGGTTTCAAGCAGCGGTTCCTCTAAAGTTCTGGGGTGAATGTGTTAGAACTGCAGTTTACCTTATTAACAGGCTGCCTTCCAGAGTATTACATAATAAATCACCTTTTGAAATGCTTTATTTGCATCCTTCTTCCCTCACACACCTTAGAGTCTTTGGGTGTCTATGTTATGCATCCAGTCCAAAGGAGAATGATAAGTTTGCACCAAGAGCTCTTCCTGCAGTCTTGCTAGGCTATTCTTCAACACAAAAGGGATGCAAGCTCTACAGTCTGCACACCAAGTCCTTATTTGTGAGCAGACATGTAGTATTTCAGGAACATCTCTTTCCCTTCAAACATATGAAGGATGTTGATACCCCTATATTTCCTATTCTTGACTTGCTACCAGCTGCAGAGGCCTACTCACAGGGTGCCTCCTCACATCCCTCTGCTGCCTGTCAAGAACTACCTCATGCTACTTCTTATGTCCCTAATGAAGAACATCAGCATAGTGCCACTGCCTCACCTAATGAAGAACATCAGCATATTGCTTCAACTTCAGAGTCTCATGATCAACCTTCTGAGATTCCACCTCCACAGGAGATAAGAAGGTCCACTAGAGCAGGGAAGCAATGCAGGATTATGTGATTCCTGTCAAGAACAAATCATGTCAATATCCTATGGCTTCATATGTGTCCTATGCTGCTATCAGTGGCGGACCCACGTGGTGGCTAGCGGGTTCAACTGAACCCGCTTCACCAAAAAATAATACTGTGTATATGTATAAATTAGGATTAAAGCTGTGTAGATTTTGTATAAATATTTTTTTTGAACCCTTGACAACTACTATTTTACGACTAAAGTTATATACTTCTAAGATTGAACCCGCTTGCACAAAATCCCGGGTCCGCCACTGGCTGCTATTAAACTGCCTTACAAGCAGGCTCTGTCAGCATACACAGCTATCAAAGAGCCTCAGACTTTCAGAGAGGCTGCTTTGGATCCAAAAATGGGTAGAAGCAATGCAGCTTGAAATTGCTGCTCTAGAAGGTAATCACACATGGAGTGTTATTGATCTTCCTCCTGACAAGACCCCTATTGGTTGCAAATGGATATTCAAGATCAAGTACCAGGCCTCAGGGGAGATAGAGAGATATAAAGCTAGATTGGTAGCTAAAGGCTACAGTCAAAAGGAGGGACTGGATTATATAGAGACCTTCTCACATGCGGCAAAGATGGTGGCAGTCAGATCAATAGTGGCCCTGGCAGCATCCAAACACTGGTTCATCTATCAGATGGATGTCCATAATGCTTTCCTAAATGGTGATCTGAAGGTCTGCAAACTACATAAGTCCCTGTATAGGCTTAAACAAGCACCAAGACAATGGAACAAAAAGCTGACAGAAGCTCTAGTTCAGATGGGGTTTCAACAAAGTCATTATGATTACTCTCTTTTCACTAAGAAGACAGGCTGTGATATCACTATAATACTAGTATATGTTGATGACTTATTGATTACAGGCGGTAGTCAACAGCTGCTAACTCAGACAAGGAAAGACTTACAAACCAAGTTCAAAATGAAAGACTTGGGAGAATTGAGATTCTTTCTTGGCATTGAGTTTGCAAGGTCCAGAGAAGGAATTGTTATGTGTCAAAGGAAGTATGCCTTAGAGCTTATTGCTGAATCAGGATTAGGAGGAGCAAAACCTGCAGGCACTCCGCTAGAGTTCAACCAAAACCTCACTTCTGAGGAATATGACAAGACTGTTCAGAAGGGCACTCAAGAGGATCTCCTCAAGGATCTAGGGCCTTATCAGAGACCTGTGGGAAGACTACTCTATCTTACTATGACTCGACCTGACTTAGGATTTGTTGTTCAAGTACTAAGAGTTTATGCACAGACCAAAGGTTCACACATGGAAGCTGCCCTTAGGGTGGTGAGATATGTTAAAGAGGCAGCAGGTTTGGGCTTGTTCATGCCTGCTCAGAACACCAATCAGTTACTGGGCTACTGTGACTCATATTAGGGGGCTTGTGTACAAACTAGGAAATCAGTAACAGGGTAGTTAGTAAAGTTTGGAGATGCTCTAATCTCATGGAAGTCAAAGAAGCAAGGGACAGTGTCAAGAAGCTCTGCTGAAGCTGAGTTCAGAAGCATGGCATCTTGCACAGCTCAGATTATCTGGTTAGTAGGACTATTCAAAGAGCTGGGAGTTGAAGAACAAGTGCCAGTGAAGCTAATGTGTGATAGCACGGCTGCAATCCAAATTGCAGCTAATCCTATTTTCCATGAAAGGACAAAACACATAGATATAGATTGTCACTTTGTAAGAGAAAGAATAATGCAGGGCCTAATACAAACTGAGCATGTGTCAACCAATGAACAGCTAGCAGATATCCTTACAAAAGGTTTGGGAAAGGCACAACATGATTACCTGCTTCAAAGACTTGGAGTGAAGAATCTGTATTCAACTATCAGCTTGAGGGGGAGTGTTGACAATGGTTAAAGCTAACAAGCTGATGTAACTAGAGTCAAGTTAGCAGTGAGTAGGTGGTTAATCTTATTTAGTCAGTTAAGCTAGTTAGTTGGCAATCAGTTAGAAGGTTCCAGAAGTTAGTTAACACTGTAGATTAGTTGTATATATACACGAGTGTACAGTGATTGTATTCAGTTTTTGATATTTTACAGAATCACATTCTCTCCTCTCAAGCTTGTCTCTGTTCTAGCTCAATTGCCATTTCCATGGCAGTCAACAAAAGTGTCCGAAGTCAGTTGACCGTATCCGGGACGTATCCTGCTCCCGTCCCCGTCTTGTATCGGGACGGGGACGGCACCAAAATCGAAGAGTCCGCACAACTTAGGTTACATCTATATGCAATAGAAAAAATATAAAGAGTGAATATTTGTCAAAGTTCTATAACATTTACCAGCATTCTGATACTTTAATTACGAAATCAAGTGATAAATGATAAATTACAGGGAATAATGGTGAAGGCCACATAGTTAAGAAATAGATAGGTCCTGTCCTACATTAGAAAAGAAATAAAGCGGGAGAGAGAAGCTATTCTGATTGTGTGAAAGGGTGGTGGGAGAGTTTAATTATTTAAAGTTCCATTTCCACCAATAACAAATAACATATGCCAACAGAAACAAGCCTATCGACTCATGATGTATTAGGAAATACTATTTTCGCAAAATGACTTTCAACCTGAGAGCAAGCAAATTACATGATCAGAGAATAAACACACTGTACTGAAACATGAAGAACTACTAGCAACACCTTGGATGCTAACAAGTACAATCCTGACCTCATCTATCAACTACAAACCGGTGTCACACATAAAGTAACAGCTGTTAAGTATGTTGCCATCAATACAAATGATAGGGGCCAAAGATTGTCAATAAGAAAAAACAATTGAAGCGTGTGGAGAGGATCCTGGAAAGCTTAGGAACTCCTGTTCCATTTTAACATAATCCTCATCCACTTCACTTAATTGGTATGTGACAACAATGATGAACTTTTCTAGTGCTGTTGCATTCTTGAGTAAATATTTTACCAATGACAGTACTAACTTATTTTCACTTAATGGTCCAAGAAAGTTAATGAACTTGATGGTCTTCAGATGTGGAAATGAGCATTTAAAATTATGTGTCTCAAACCTCTTGATCTGCTCATCCCTATTTGTGTACTTTAACAGCATGTCCTGCAGGAAAGAATCCACTAATATTAACCAGTTATTCTCCTTAGATGGAAGTAGAAAGCCAAGAAGTTGATTGTGGATAAAACAAAAAAGTGATGAATTTTTAGATTCGAGGAACAATGTCAAGTGCTTATCAAATGTTAAAAGTGGTACATGCAAACAACAAAGGATATCTCAAAGCTTTATTGAAGCTGATCCTTTAACTCCTCGCATGAAGGTGAGTACTATCACTTGTTAAACATCTTTCAACTATAAAAGAGTTTGACTGTAGAATTGGATTACTCACAGAATAAATTTTGATAGTGACAACATGGAATTTCATTGAGCAACTCAAACTAAGCTATTTTCTTGAGGAGAATAAACTGAGAGAACAAAAGTTCCTCTAAACATATTACACAAATACAGAACAATAAGCATGCTGATTTAGCAGATTTAGAAAAGAGAAACCATCAACTTTCAATACAAAAAAAGAAGATTCTGAAATCCTTGAAAAGCAGCATTCAAATAAAGTTGCTAAAATTTGAACTATGCATTCCCTGGAGCAATTTCTGTGCACATTGAGAAACATCCACCTCGATGGACAAGCACTATTGTCAAATGGTGCAAACCCGATCTAGGATGGGTAAAACTAAACATAGATGGGCAGTTGCAGTCCCACTAGGCCATGGAACAACAATGAGGCTGAAGCATTTGCGCTTTCCCATGGGCTTAAATGGTGTCCTGGACATCATATTAGAGTATTTGTGTGGAAGTCGACTCTACTTATTTTGAATGTTGACAAAGGAATAGCAAAACCTTCTTGGAACCATGAACCTAATATTGAAGAGATCAAAGAGTTGATTCAAGGTGACACACTGTGACAGAGAAGCCAATGGTGTGGCTGATTCTAGCTGGATACAGTCAACCATTGAATGCAGAAAAAAAAAATCAGTTTTAACTCACTACCAAGATAAGCTAGAGGGCATTTAAGTTTGACAAGTGGCAGGTCCCTTCTTTCATACTTCGAAAGAAAGCTCAAAGCTTACCACCTGGTTAGATCCTTCTGTCAGCTCACATGTTACTTGAGAATACTACTCTTTCTCTTTTTCCTTTTTAGTTCTTACAGAAACAATGTACAGAGGAGCAAGACTCTCCACAAGTTAGAAGCTATTGTTGAAAAGCTCATCATGTACCTAGGCTAATTATGTTTCACATTGTAAATAGGAATCCTATACAGAAACACTTTTTTTTGTTTACACATTATAGGCTTATCTCCGACACTTTTGTCAAAGATTGAACCCTTCTCAACCTTCTCTTTACTTGAGAATTGAACCGGTTCAAGTCTTATCTTTTTTTGAAGAGGAAAGGCAATCAAGCACGCCTCTTTGTGACCTCTTATCATTATCGATATAAAAATACCACTAAGGTGGTTTGAATTATATAAAAAAAGTTCAATTTGTTATAGGAAAAATTAAATTATGGTGGATATCTACTCTTACTGCATGATCTTCTCAAATGCTTAATGACATATTCAATGACATATTTCTATGTTTAATGACATATTCAATGACATATTTTTCTTCACTTTTCATGCCTATATAAAGGTCTTGTAATAGATAGGAAAATACACACAATTGAAGAAGAAAATCTCTTCCTTCTCTCTATCTCCATTTCTTTTGAAGATCATGTGTAAAAAATAAATTTGGTGAAATGTGCTTTGTCCTATCCCATTTTATGAATCCTCCCTTCAACTGGGATATGCATGCTGCATTGTCTTCATACAAAATTGTGGGTGGTTTGTCACACTTCAAATCATATTTGTCTCGAATAAGGCGTATTATAAACCTCAACCATACACATTCTCGACTTGCTTCATGAATATCAATTATCTCAGCATGATTAGATGAAGTAGTCACGATTGATTGCTTAGT